AATAGTTTATTTTAAAAAGTGCTCATTGCATTATAAATTATTTTTTTATATAGACGGGATAATGACTCAGAAAAATTTATTCCGAAAACTACTCAATGCCCAAAAAATTTTCAAAAAAATTATCTGACGAATTTTTTTCTTAGTGTATGTTTCTCTAAAATTTTTTTTTTTAAGTTGTTTTTTCTCATTGCATTTTGTAATAAAAGTTTGCAATCAATTTCACCTACCCAAATTGGCTTTCACTACGGAATACGTTTTGTACTAAACTCTTTCAAAAAATAATTTTTATCTAAAGATTTTTTTCGCGAACTAATTTCTCATTTTAAAATAGGAGTTTTGTAAAAATTGATTTTTTCAAAAAAATTTTTTATTTTCTATGTCTATTTTTTTAATCTTTTTTCTAATTCGAGGTAAATTTTTGTAAGTATATACATACATACGTATATTTGTTTCTAAAATTTTGTGATAAAAATAGAAACACAAATAAAATTTAGGCACATTAGGGGTATTCATCTCACGTCACAAACTGCCGAAAAACGCGATAAAATTATAAATTCCATACAAATTTAACATAAGAAAACAGAAAGCTTTAAAATGACTCACAGTTTACTCTTTGGGAAGCATGAAAAAAAAATTGACACAATAAATTATTGACTATTTACAAGCTTTTTTTTTATTGTAATGACACTGGTATTTTTGATGCCCAATTTTGTCATTAAATGTTTTGTAATTTAATTCGCAGTGGACATTCGGGATATACATACGTTTGTTTCCACATTTGGTTTTATAAATGGCACACATTTTTTTAATAATTTTTTTTTTTTTTGTAATTTAATTGTTTGGTGAAAATGCGGTATTGGAAAATTTAAATAAAAAAAATGCATATCACTTGTTACATTGTATAATTTTTAACAATTTTATGAACCTTTTTTCGGACCATACTGCACATTTTATTTTCTACAAACGCGTTCAAATGCTTTGCGCCAACTAGATTTTGTATTACCACAAATAGTTTTTACTAAAACACATTTAAATATTTATTCAGAACTAACATTTTACACGGGTTTCCTCAGCATAAGCTTCGAGCTACAACAAAAACAACAACCGACGTTTTTACACTGCAAAATTATAAAAATCTACTAATTCGCATAGCCTTACCTTAGCACTGATTTGTTTTAAGTTGGAATTCAAGTCGCTACCCCCTTTTCTCCTACCATTTATTGCAGTATTATGGGCTCGCATAGTTTAAGCGAACATTCAGACGAAGGCTTCGAGGAGAACGATGCACTGGAAGTGGGCGGTGCTGTCGGTAAAATTGTGTCGCGCTTCATCGATCGCGTCTGCACCGAGGGCGGTGTAACCTCCGAGCACATACGCAATCTGCATGACATGGTGCCTGGTGTGGTGCACATGCACATTGAAATGCTGGAATCGGTGTATCTGGAGTCCAAACGGCATCCACATGTGCAGAAGCCGAAGATACAAACGCCATGTCTGCTGCCAGGCGAGGAGATTGTAACAGATCACTTGCGCTGCTATCTGATGCCCGATGGGCGCGAAGATGACACACAAAGTTGGATACCAGCCGAAGGTGCACTGTTCTTAACAAACTATCGCATCGTGTTCAAGGGTAGGTCAAATGGGAGTCGATATTTTTTAAATAATGAAATTTGGATTAATCAAATACTTTTAGGTTCACCCTGTGATCCACTCGCTTGCGAACAGACCATCATACGCGCCTTTCCCATCTCCTCGCTGCTGAAGGAGAAAAAGATCTCAGTACTTTACCTATCGCATTTAGATCAAACTCTGCCAGAGGGTTTACAGTTACGCTCCAGCACCTTTCAGCTAATGAAAATCGCATTCGACACGGAGGTGACACCAGAAATGATTGAGACTTTCCGCAAAATACTCACGAAGGCGCGGCATCCGATCGACGAATTCGAACACTTCGCCTTCCAATCGTACGGTACCATAATGCATGGCACTGCACCATCTAAAACCAAAGAAAAATACTCAACACTAAAGGGTTTCGCTAAGAAAACAATTTTACGCAAATTCAAACAAAAAGCACCAACTAAACGCAAATTGGTTGCTTCGACACTCGATTTTGATACGCTCGCACCATCGACGGAAGCCATCGATACACATTCTCTTGACGATGAACTCGAAGATGATGAGTTCGAAACAAATACGGACACCATGCCACGCCTGCTGACCGCCAAGGATGTAGAACGCATGCGGGAACGCAGTTATGTGCGCGATTGGAAGCGTTTGGGTTTTGATGATGCACAAAATGGCTTCCGCATAACCACTGTGAATGCCAATTACAGTCTCTGTCGTTCGTATCCTGCACTCTTGGTAGCACCTGTGCAAATAAATGACGCCGCACTATTACATTTGGTGCGCTGCTACAAGAGTCAACGCATACCGGTGGCGACGTGGCGTCACCGCAATGGTGCTTTGCTGATAAGAGGCGCGCTGCCACACAGCAAGTCGGTTATCGGTGAGTTTAATAAGATTTTTATTGCAAGCGAATTGGTGATGTTATTTGAAAATTTTACAATTCATAACAGGCATGCTTAAAAACTCCACGGGTTCGAACACGATGTCACACGACGTCGCCAACTATCACGAACAGGATAAATACATTTCAGCGCTCATTGACTCAATGCCGAAAAATCTCTCTCTAGCATTGGCGCAATACAATTTGACCGGCATGAATTTGTCAATGAATTCGTTGCTATTGAACGCTGGGGATGAGTCGTCCTACCTTAACCGCGCAGACACTTCACTGACGCCGGAAGTTAGTCGCAAACATAAGTCGGCACATTCAGCGAGCAGTGATGCGAAATCAAATAACTGGACCGATTCGTTGAAACCAAAATCGAATACAATAAAAAACAACTCATCAGTCTCAGCAGCTGCGTCAGCGTATCGAAAGTTGCGGCTGTATGTTTTAGGTAATTAGCATATTTTGTAACACTCCCATATTCACTTCTTCATTCTCGTACTCACCTCTTTTTTTTCGCATGTGTCAGGTGAAAAATCTCAAACAAAATCTGGCATCAATGCAGATCTCTGCGCCGAATTCATAGCCGTCGACTATGCTGACTATCGGCAATCACGCATCGCTTTCAAGAAGCTTATGCGCGCATGCCTACCCTCGAATACAACCAACGAAGCGGATCAAACGTTTGCCAAAAGCGTTGAACAATCCGAGTGGCTGCAACAAATCTCTTCGCTTCTGCAGCTTTCTGGCGCTGTGGTCGATTTAATGGATTTGCAAGAGTCAAGTGTGATGCTCTCGCTGGAGGATGGCTGGGATATTACCGCGCAAATATCTTCGATTGCACAACTATGTCTCGATCCATACTATCGCACAATGGAGGGCTTCCGTGTACTCATCGAGAAGGATTGGATTGCATTTGGACATCGTTTTGCACATCGTAGCAATTTAAAGCCAACGCATGGCAATTCGAGTATAGCATTTGCGCCAACTTTCTTGCAATTTTTAGATGCTGTTTACCAAATACAAAAACAATTTCCAATGGCATTTGAATTCAATGAGTTTTATGTACGCTTCTTGGCTTACCACATGGTTTCGTGTCGTTTTCGCACTTTTCTCTTTGACTGTGAAGTGGAACGTTTCGATTTGGGTATCGCTTCTGTAGAGGATAAACGGGGTTCATTGAGCACCAAACATCACATGCTAGGTAATAATAAGTTTAAGCTTGTGCGTGTTGATCTATTGGGTGTGCAGTACCATTAACTTAATTAACACATTTCTCTAATCGCAGCTAACACCGGTTCCGATGACGAGTGCATCTACCCCATGGACGTACGCAGCAAGGCGGCACAATCTGCGGTGAATTTCAATCGCATCGGTCACTCCATCTTCGACTACATCGAACGTCAGCATGCGAAGTCACAGATTTTCTACAATTTCATGTACTGTGTACGCGACGATGTACTGCGTCCGCAGAGCTCTTTGCCTGCCCTAGATCTCTGGCCCTACTACACCAACGAAGAGTTGGCGCAGGGTCCACCGTACGATCTGGAGTTGACAAATGCCGATGATGAAATTGATCTCTCCGAGTTGCGTGGCAAACGAATTGTTATTAGCGCTGGCTATGATAATATCGAAAAGAGTAACCCCAATGCATTTGTTTGTCTATTGAGTGATGTGCGACAAGCGGAAACCGAACGTGGCCATCTGCCACAAAAATGGTTGCAAGTGTGGGATCAATTGGAGGTACCCCAAATGGAAGAGCTGACGCGCAAGTCATCGTTGAGTAGTATTCTATTGCAATCGCACGGAAAATTAGCGCACAAACGTTCCACTTTGGAGATACTCATGAAGGGTCGCTTAAGTGGCTATCAGGATAAATTCTTTCATCCACATCGTTTCGAGAAGCATCCCTATACAACACCCACCAATTGCAATCACTGCACCAAGCTGCTATGGGGTCCAGTCGGTTATCGCTGCATGGACTGTGGCAATTCTTATCACGAAAAATGCACCGAGGTGTCATTGAAGAACTGCACCAAATATAAGGCCGTGGATGGTGTAGTGCCGCCAAATGTCAACATATCGCAGGGTGACACCTCAAGTATAGCATCGAGTGCCGCTACAACGGCGCGTACTTCAAGCCATCATTTCTACAATCAATTTAGCAGCAATGTGGCGGAGAATCGAACACATGAGGGGTGAGTGTGATGACCTAAAACGTAGTGTTTTTATTTTTAATTTAAATGCTCGGAAATCCATGCATAACATTTGGCTCGCCGAAGAAACCTATGTAGATTTATTATAAGAATGAATACGATTTGTTAGAGACTATATATTTATGGAAGGCTTGATCCGGATTTTTTTTTTATTCCCTTAGGTTTTGGTTTCTTAAAAGGGGCGGATTGCTAGTGTACCAGACCGCCCTATATATTCTTTAATCTTCTGATTATTCTTAATTCATTCTACGACTTTCGTTTCTCTTTTTCAAGGCATCTTTATAAACGCGGTGCCCTCCTGAAAGGCTGGAAGCAGCGTTGGTTTGTGCTGGACTCCATAAAACATCAACTGCGTTATTATGATTCTGGCGAGGATTCACAATGCAAAGGGGTTATAGGTGAGTTGTCGAATGGAAATATTTACTAAAATCTTATTATCAGAAAACTGGAAAATTAACTTAAGCTGCACTTGGTAGTAGTAGGTTGAACAAGGAAATGAATTAGCAACCATAGTTTACGGGGTGTGCAGAGTGTACAGAGTGGTTAGCACTTCGATGATGCGGGTTCGATCCCTGCTGAAGCCTAGAAAAAGAAGTCTGATGAGGAGATGTGGTGATCTCCGAAATAGCAGCTATAACTTCTACCGCTTAGACTTTGTTGCTTTTGCCATTTTTCCTAATAAACCTTTTCGTGGTACAAAGCTCAATAACAATATTAAAACAAAATTTATTTTAAACTTTTATTATAAAACTTTCTAAAATAAATAATTGCCTTTTTTACATATTTTTAATCCTGACACAGAATTGGCCGAAGTGCAATCAGTTACGCCAGCGCAACCAGCACAAATTGGTACGAAGCGCATAGACGAGAAGGGCTTCTTTGATGTAAGTAATCACAAATACTCCTAAGCATATACATATGTACTTATGTTAAGGCCTTTTTTCTCGAGCTTTTGAGTTTTTGGATTATGTCACTCTGATCGTGAATAAGCAACATCTCAAAACCAATGCAAGAACTGTACATATTTAAACAAAAATAACCCTCCCTTTCTCTTCCCTAGAGAGGAAGCGATGTTGGACGCACCAGGGCTATTTTTTTTTTTTTTTTTTTTTTTAAAGGTTTCAGTTTGGCCCAAGGCACATTAAACAGGTAGTATCAGTAGAGCAAAAACAACATTTGCGTGTATTTTGTTGTTGCTTCTGGTATCGAAAGTGTCAAAAACTGTTCTGAATTTTTTCTTCTAAATCAAAGCGTGCCATGTAAAATACAAAAAATTATAAAAAATAAAAAATTGAAATTGGAAAAAATAAAAATTGATGCAACTTTCTTTCCTAGTAAATTTGTTTGCTTCTCGAAGCATTGATCCATCCTTTGCAAGGCCCAGTAATCAGCGGTCGTGCTGCTGAGTTGGGCGAACGTTCCAAAAGCTGCTATTCAATCGCTTGTTTTGTATGGAAAAAGGTTTCACATGCAAATGGATTTTAACAATTCAGAATTTTTGTGAGAAAAAATTAAAAATATTTGACATTTTCGAGACCAAATAATTTGAAAATAAATCAAATCAGCTGCTCTACTGATACTACCTGTTCAATGTACCTTGGTTTGGCCCTTGATAACTCTTATAGTTGTTGTTTCCCCAAAAAATAAAGTATAACGTTATGCTCAGCCCAATGATTTCTATCGATTTCTATACTGTTACTCACAAAATTGAGCGTACGGTTTTTTGTGTTAATATTCGCAATGTTTTACATGCTAAAATTTTTTGTTAATTTTGTATTAAAATATAGCTTATATTTTAGCAAACCCCATTTAAATCCAAGCATGAAACAGTACGAAAAGTAAGAAAAATCTGCAAAGTTTCAGCAAAATCACAAACTTTTTAATATGAATTTCATGAAGGAATTCAGGTATGCTTTTTTATAGCCCCTTTTAGTATAATAATGTGCAAATTTCAAAAGTCTAAAAATTCGCGTTGATTTTTGAGAATTTTTTTGCTGACTGTCTTACAAATTTTTTCCATATGAAGTATTTTCAGAATCTTTTTGTTATATACTTGTACATAAAAATAAAAATGCATACCTGATTTTTTTTAAATTCTTATTAAAAACTTTGCGATTTTGCTGAAGCTTTAGAAATTTTTGTTAATTTTCGTACACAGTTTCTTTCTTGGATTTAAAGATGGTTTGCTAAAATATAAGCCATATTTTAATACAAAATCAACAAAAAAAAATTGTGCATGTAAAACATTGCGAATATTAACAAAAAAAAAACCGTGCGCTCAATTTTGTGAGTAACAGTATATGGCTAGCTTAAAGTGAAAATTTGTTAAGTCCAATTCTTCAAAATTTACAGGAGAATAGAAAAACATAGCAAACTTATTTCTTTGCGTGTTCAAACTAAAACATAACTGTACTATTTGGTAGAATTCGACATTAATAAAAATTCTGCGTTCCTTTGAATTTTTCGGCTTCTTTGCGCTTTCTTTTACAATCTTCATTTCACTGCCTATAAAAATAGGCAGAAATAAAATAAGTAGTTCGGTGTTTTTGAAAACGATATTTAATTTTCCTTGTTTTTTGTATCACAATGTTAGTTTTTACAAAAAGTAGACTTGGCAACTTTTCACTCCTAGCTAGCGATGTGCATATACATCGTCCATCAACATTTTATCAACGGCCCTTATTGTCTCCAAAGTTCAGTTGGCTGAAAAATACGGCTTTGAACTTTTCCAACACCCGTTCCGAAGTAGAGACCTGCGCTCGTCTAAACAACTTCTTCTGAATCTTATCCAAACCACTGATTTTTCGCAGAGCTGTGGGCTTTATTTTTAATATAAAATTTTGTGAAATTTTTCAAGTTTGCCATAATCACTTAAGTAAAGGCAAACCAAGGAAACCTAAATCGTGGTAATTTTTAAACGAAACTACTCTATTTTTTAGCAGAAAAGACTAAAACTTACATAAAATCCGTCCCTGTTTATGACAATAAATTTTGCAGTACAAATCCTTTTTTTCGAGATAGTCTCGATACAATTCAGGTCACGAATTAACCTGTGTTGAGCGAAAATATTTTGTTAGGTGTCAAGAAAAGAAGCAAATATTATAATTTACATGGAAAAAAGAGCCCTACTTTTCGATATGAAGTTGAAGGCACCTTTTTGTACAGAATATGTATACATATCGTTGATGAAATGTAGAAAGGCCCTAACTGAAATTTTTTCAAGAAAACATTTTGTTGCATTTTTAAGTAGTCCAGTGACGAAAATAACAGTTAAATATCAAGCTTTTTATTTTTAGATCATTGCAAAATCGTTATTTTTCCCAATCAAGAATAGTCGTTAAATTTGGATTTTTAATTTTTCGATAAAAAATCATCGTTATATTGAATTTTTATTTGTGATTATGATCTAAAAACCGATATGTACATAAATATATACATACGTATGGATGTACAAAGATATGATATACTCATAAATATATATGTAATTCAAATCTATACTCTCATTTTTCACATAGCTGAAGACCAATCGGCGCACCTACAACTTTTATGCGGTTAATGCGAATTTAGCACAAGAATGGATTGAGAAAATTCAAGCTTGCTTACAGTAAATGAATTTAGCTGCTCATTGGGAGCATTTCCTCATACATATTTCCGTTTCTTGCGTGTATTATTTTTTACGTATAAATATTTTAGCTAAGCTAAGCTTAACATAGAAAAAAAAAATTTAATTAAACTACAAAAAATGGACGACCAAATGAAATAAGTATAAATAAAAAAATATATAGCGTTATACTCAAAGTTTAGCAGCGGTAATGAAGCGAAAAACAAAAACAAAAATATACAAAATTAAATATACAATACATTAGCATTATTTAAGCAATTATGTTTAAGAAACTTTGTGTGTGATTATTATTTTCTGCTTCGCTTTTTGTAATATTTTTTTTTTTTTAAAGAAATCAAATGAAATATTTTATACTTTAATTACGCTGCCAACAGCAAATAAAAAAATATTAATCGTTAGTAGAAAAAAAAATAAAAATTAATTAAATATACATAAATATCGACGCTCTCCCATCTGTGTGCGTAAGTGTGTGTATGCGCGCGCATATTGTATTTACATACATACTTGCATACTACATAGTATAAATTAGCTTTGGCTTCAATTTCTGATTATCTCTTTACGAAAAACGCAATTTCTCTGTAGTACTAGATGACATTGCGCTGCATTTGTATGTCCTGTATAGTAGTATATACATAATAAATGAGTTATAGATCGATTAGTCTAATTATTCTTATAATAATTATTAAAAGTTTTTTTTTTACTATTTAAAAAACATATTTTATAGACAAGCTGCAATTACCCTGTATTTAATAGAGAGGTGAGTTTTGAAAATTACTTTTTTCTATATTTCAATAAATATGCATACATACATAAACAAAAAACGCCTATAAGTAAATGTATACAGAGATGGGCAGCTAAATAGAGCCAATATTTAATTGTGTAGATATTTCGAAATAAATTGCATATTTTACAAATCAACCGAAATGTATAACAGCAGGTGTAAAAACGCGTGTAAAGAAATACATGAAAGAAATTGTTGTGCTCTATTTGGTGGTTAACCTCTGTACACAATAAAATATACATACAAAAAACCTTGTGTACCAAAAGATATTTGAAAATGCTTTTCCGCATGCTAACCTAAATGTAAAAAAAATACATAACATAAATACATACATAAATAACTTAATAAATAGACTTTTTCAATGTGATCAACCGATTAAATACTAATACATACATACATATATACATACATACAACAAGAAAGTTAAATTTATAAATAAATAGCATACATGTATTGTTTAATATTTAATAATTGAAATTTTCTCATTGTTGAAGGAAGGGAAAGAAAGGTAAGCACAACATCGGAAAAAGGCTCAACCAACTTTACCGTACCGGTTATGCAATGTTTGCCTGACCTTTTTTTTTTTTTGAGGCGGAAATAATGGGCAGTGTTTGCCTTTTATTCTTCAGGCCTTGATATGTATGTACTTAGGGTGGTCCGTTTTTATGTATGTGATACACAAATTTGACTGCTCTCACCCCCTAGCATTTTTCTGTATCAAAAAAAAAAAATATTTCGAAATAAAAAAATATTTAAATATTTTTATTTTATATATTTAAAATATGATTAAATAAACATTGGGCATTGTTATTGCAAGTTTCCTGAAGAGAAGCAAAGCTTTCCCGTCGAAAATTATAGAATTTCAAGACATCTGTACAATTTCTACGGAAATTTTTTCGCCCCACATAAAACACATGGAAAACTTTGATTGCTTTGAACGGCCACAAAATAGTTTCTTATTTCAAAATAATAAGAAAATAGGGGAGTATTTTTTCGGTATAGAACATTCCTAGGGAGTGAGAGCATTAAAATTCCGACTTTACTTTATTTGGGCCCCCTAATGTACATACTAGGTGCGCAAGATTTTTTTACTTTCGTGATTCTTCGTATTATATACTTGGAATTTTTTAAGTAATTAGGGGACTCTTCGGGACTTTACGGGATACCTCTGGTTATATGTTTTGGGATCAAACAGGATTTTCAGGACTACTTCTGGCCCCTGGGGATTTTCGGGATTGTTTCAGGATTATCGAGACATTCGGGATTCTCTGAACTATTTCGGGACTACTTCGGAATTCGCGGGAACACTACTTCGAGATACTACTACTTTGGAATTTTCCGAACTATTTCAAGATTAAGTGATCGTAACTTTGCTAGAAGTGGTTCGGCAACAAATTTAAATACACTTTAAATTATATTTTTTTAAGCAAAAGGGTTTAGGTTCTAAAATTTATTAAAGAAGATGGAATAAAAATATTAAATTTAAAAAAATAAAAATTATTCTATTGTTTGCCACTTATGTTTATTTATTTTTAAGAATTTTCAATTAAAACACATCTCATTTTCCAACAAAACCCTGTTTAAAACTTTGTAGAAAACTAAAAAAAAATCAACAAATTTTCATCCAAATTTCAAACATTTTTTTTAGAAGTGTTAGAATTTTTTTATTATACAGTTTTATAGCACACTCAATTGTAGTGTAATAATTTGCAAGTTTCAAGCGCCTAAAATTCAACGTTTATTTTTTAGATTTTTTTGTCGCATTTGCTTCCATTTAAAGAATAAACACAGTTTATTTTCATATGAAGGAAAACCGCAAAATCTTACGGTTAGAAAACGTCTCAAAATCTTGACCTCAACATTTGGGAACCCATTGTGAAACGAACTGTGAACAGCCCAATTGATTTGAATCGAAGAATAACTTAAAAATTGTACTAAAATCGAAAATAACTAGTTACAGGTTGGGTAATGAAAATTGTGAATGCCATGAGTGCTGGGAAAGTTACTCCTTTGACTATACAATTTTTTACGCATAGCGGATAAACTACGCAGATTCCGGAAAATACCCAGCATTAGTACTTAAGTAAAGGCCTTACTTAACGTCAATCCTGTAACAGGACAAACCCATTGAGCTATATACACCCTTATTCAACCTACTATTATCAAGGGCAACTGATTCGCCGCTATTTCCTAACAAACAAGTCGTGGGACAAGTCACAATAACACTATTGAAATAAACATTATTACGCCATAATAAAATTAACAAATAGACCCATTCCAGATGTAATGAAATGAGTCGTTGAATTTTTTAAATAGCTCTGCTATAAAAGACTTTAAAGTAAATATGTACATACCAATTTCAAGAATTTTCAAACAATAACAATTTGCTCGTTTATTTAAGCGACACTAACCACTAAAGGAATGTTGTCCAGTACACAATATTCAGTATAAAAAAGGAGAATGGAAAAAAGAAACGCGAAAATTTATCAATATAAATCGCTGTGGCATGTCCATGGCAGAATGTGTCATACTGTGGCTCAATTATGGATTCACGGTGATGATTCTACATAGAAATATTAGTGATATTATTCGTATTTATTTATTACAACATTTAAAAATCAAAGCGGTCACCATCACCTTTCTCACCTTCAAATCACCCAAATCGTGTATATTCTCATCCGAATAACCCTTCATGGCTTTCGTTGCCACGGGTCCCATATAGTTATTGACCACAGCAAATTCCATCAACGATAGGAATACAAATACCGAACATGATGACATCCACACATCGATGGCTTTCACATAGGATACGGGCGGCAGCGATTGTTGTGATTGTGTATTTTGTGTAGCGAGTGTTAGTAGCGATGTGACGCCGAGTGTGACGCGTGCCGGTATCGCTTCGGGTTTAATCCAAAATGAAATCCATGACATGACCACAATAAGTGCAGATGGAATGTAGCTGTGAGTGAGGAGTGGAATGAGGAATGAATTAAAAAAAAAAAAATAATAAATGTGCTTCATTTACCGTAATAGGGGCACTTACGTGTGAAAGAGATGATAGCCAAGACGTCGACGCAGATTGAAAACTATAGCCAGGCAAGTGAAATTACCTGAAAAATTAATTTTGGGAAACTCATAAATGTCGATAGATAAACATCCAAGAAATAATTTCTATGCGAAATACATACATATATGGATTTTAGATAAGGATATGAATATGTTCATGTCATCGCTATCACTTCATTAATGAAAGTATATGTATGTATGTAAATAAATCATTGCAGATTATGATTTCCTTACGCTATAAAAAAAAAAAATTAACTCATTATTTCGCGACAGAAATACTGCTTCACTTTTTGTTTTTTTTTTAATGTTAATATTAGCTTGTTTTAAGCATTTCTAATAAAATTAAATTAAAAGCTTCGTGTTTTTTTGAGGCATTTGAAATTTTCTAAGGATTTTTTCAGGGCCGTTCAGAGTTTTCGGTAGTCTACATGTTTTAATTTTCGCGACTGCGGAAATTTTTCGATGTTTTTGTTTTACGCTTTATGATTTTCTCGGAGTTTCTGTATTTTTTCGAAGATTTTCTGGGTTATTTGTATTTAATGTTCCGGGATCAAGTTTACTTTTCAGATTACCGAGAGTCGTCGTGCTTTACGTTTTGCGACTCTTCTGCATTTTTCGGATTCGTTTTACTTTTCGCGAGCTTCGGGATTTTTTCGGACTTTTCTGAACTTTGGGAATTTTTTCGAGACATTTTTGGAAATTCTCTCAACTTCTTCTGCGCTTTCCTGGATTCTTGGTTTCGATTTGCCGGATTATTCACGCGATTTTTCATGATTTTTTGCTTTTCCGAGACTTTTTAGTATTCTTCCAGTTTTACTTTTTGGGTTTTTACAGGACTTCTCTGAGTTTTATTTTTTTTTTGAACTTTGTAATTTTTTTAGAACTTCACGATTTTTTTCGAAGTTTTCTAGATTTTTCGTAGCTATTTAGAGTTTTGGTGCTTTCTTTTCCGGGATTATTTGGAGCTTTTCGAGACTTTTCGGTATTCTTCAGATTTAACATTTTGGAATTTTACCAGGCTTTGCAGATTCTGCAAGTTTTATTTTTCGAGAGCTTTAAGCATTTTTCCAGGACTATTCGGAATTTTTTCGGTGTTGGTCGTATACTACTTTTCGTTATTCTTTCCGACTTTAGGAGCTTTTCAGTATACTTATTCCCAGTTTCGCCAATCAATATTAAAAATTATCAGGTTGAAAAAAAAAAACTTGAAGAGTTTTGGTCCATATTGAATTTCAAATAAAGTTTGTGCCTTGAGTCTTTGGTTTTTGCGCAGCTCCTTGTATGCGCAGTGCTTATGTATGTATGTATGTATGGACGAATGGGTGAGTGTGTGCGTGTGTGTGTGTGTGAATTTTTGCACCCGTATTAAATTTCATTTATCCACCTAAATATAAAATAATCATACCTGTCGAGTATTCTATGGTACAATCGGTTGTATAATTATTCGATATATCCAATTGTGGTAATTCAATTTCGCTATTAACCACCAACGGATCGGTCATATTCCAAATGAATACCAAATCTTCAACCGTGTGTGATACTAAAACAGAAAGTTAGTTACATAAGTTCAAACAAGAAATAAATTACTAATTTAAACCAAAACAACTCACAACTCTCAATCATCATGGAACAAATTTGTGTATCATGTGGATAGGATTCGAATTTCATGGCACAAGATAACACCAAAGTTAGTCTGCAAAAGCAAAGTAGGCAATGGGATTACATATTTCAATTTAATGTTCTGTTAAATTTTTATGAAAAAATGCATTCTCATCAACAAAGCAATTGCATACTCGCATACTCACTTTGACATGTAGAGCAATGTCTTGTCATGATATAGCCATAGGTAATGATTCGGTATGCTCATCTCATGGAATGTGACTTTTTTGGCATTCTTGAAGAAGCAATCTGGCCGCCAAATGCTATGCAACCAATCGACATCCAGTATACGATACTGTTCGCTCATGTTCTCTGGCAGTCGCAGGCGGGGATCACGCCAACTTTGTGCTAGGAATACGTCGGTGACATATGTCTATAAGTAGAGATAGTTATGCATATTCTTGAATTTTGCAAAATATTATTATTTTTTTTTAATTTTTTGTTTAGTGTAATTACCATCGATTCTTCATTGATCGAATCCAATGACAACACTGTCACATGAAAATAGACAACGGTCGGCTGTCCGAGTAATTTTGGCGCGCGATTTTTATCGTAATTTTTCGATGGTATTGGCAATATATCAGGCAATGATAAGCTGGATTCGATGCCGGTGACTAATTCTGCGCTTTCAGTGATATTTCTAAAAATTAAAAATGGTGGTTATTTTGAAAATGAAAGTAATTTTTTCCAGGTTTGTTATATTTTAATCTAAATTATAGTTC